TACTTCGCTTGATGTTTCAAAAGAAGACCCTCCTATTACCAGAAGGAACACTGATTGCATTACCTTTCACAATATTTTAATCAAACATCCCCCAGTCTTCACTTCGCTTTTCACCAAGCAGAATATCGATCTTGCTATACAAATCTTCACAGACAGTATACTGAAAGCCTCTGAAGGATGCTACTGTTACGGTTCAATTAACTAACAATAATATTCGCCTCCCACGCAATATCAGAGACATCATCAAAGAAAGAAACAGAATTTTGAAACTTTGGCACCGTAATTGGGACCCTGCCCTTAAAAGAGAAATCAGTATATTTAATAGAAGAATCAAGAAGCTCATCATAGATTTTAAAAAGGAAACTAAGGAATTTCTTCGTATTTACGTAAAATTTTACTTTACGATTTCTCATTCACTACTCTTCATGATACTTTTAAAACATATCGTAAAAGATATGTGAATACAAAACTTGTGCCTCGGGAACTAATACCAAGCGTTTCCACATATGGTGTATATTTATCTACACTGGTGTGCAAAAATTAAGAACGGAGCTGAAAAATTAGCTTATCAGTGGAACGAAAAGGCAGAGCAAACTGGAAGACTAATCAGGAGATCGACTAAGGTCAGGTTCATTAGCACATGCGCATACATGCAACTAGACGTATTGGAGGAGTGTCCGAGCGGTATAAAGTTCGCTGGAGGTGTAAGCTCAGCAATTTGTTAAAGCTATTGCACGGCATATATCAGTTGGAACGATGTCAAGTTGCTGCCTCAGTGTGAAATGTCAAACAATAAATCTGTTAGACGACATCTGGATGCTTTTATCTGAGGTCGAATCATTGAAAAGAATGAGAAAGGTCTAAGTGTGACAAGTATGCCTGTGGAGTTCGGGATTGCTCACAGCATTGTTCACGACTTTGGTGAGCATTTCAAACAGCTATCTGACGGTTCAGCAGTGGTCGTCCACGAGCAACCACAGCAGCGGATGACAGGTATATTGCCCTATAGGCAAACCCTATAGGCTTGAGAAAAATCTCAAGACACATGGAACAGGCGATTGGATGACCGATATTGCGTTTTATCATAGCCCGGAGGCTGCACTGTGGTGCTCTGTTTTCACGACGACCTGTACGGTGTATACAATGAACGCCTGCTCATCGCAGAATGCGTTTTCTGCGGCAGAGAACACCAGAACTGGACAGATAAATAATCGAGTTGAGTACTCTTTACGAATGAGAGCGGATTTAGTCTGAGATGCGACTCGAGATGCATAACACATCTGGAGAGAACGAGGAACATGCAATAAACCTCTTCAACATCATCAAAGGGGATTGGTTTGGACATCACGAAGTTCTTGTTTGGAGAGACATAATTCTTAGTAGCCGTACCAACCTTTACATCTTCCAAGGAGACTCAGTCATCGAGGTTCTTCTTCCTTATATGCGTCTTTTCACAGGTGCTGTCAGTCGTCAGTTCTCTTCTTTGATGACAGTGATCCACCTCATCGCACAGTTATTGTCAAAGAGTTGTTGGAGACTGAGCATATTGAACACATGAATTTGCCGGCAAGGTCTCTGGATCTAAATCCCGTCGAGCATGTAGGGAACTTTCCATGTAGACACGTGGCAGTACGTAACTGATCCCCAGTAACAATTCCAGAACTGCGATTAGTGCTACAAGAGGAAGGGACAACAGTGCCTCAACAACTCATTAAAAACCTCATATTCAGCATGGGCAAATGATGTGAAACCTCCACATGGACATGGACCACCTGTAACATGGACGCTTCAGCCTTCTGTTGCATTGTGCTCCATGCTACCTTTTTGGGTAAAATTCCTTTCTATCATTTTGATTGCTTTTTGGGGATGTTTTGCTTACATTACCCATGTTCTTACATCTTGGGTATCTTATGATATAATTTTTGTTCATTGGAAAGCTTTTGCACAACGTTATATTGAAAAAAAAAAACATCTCGGCCTTAATTTTTGCACACCAGTGCACTCACATCTATGGTGCATATTTATCTACTCACATCTCTGATGTATATTTATCTATCGTGTATATTATTTGATCTGCACGCTCTTTCGGCTTTAAGATATTTACTTATTCACTTTAATGCAAGACTTGAACATCACTCAGGAGCAATAATTTTTATTTAAAGAGGCACACATCGTTCTCCGTTTCTCCTATAATTTTTAATCATTACAATATACCGTCAGGGCTTGAAAAAGAATTGTATGACTTTTTCATGGTTAAGTTAGGTTAAGTATATGTGCAGAAGCCACCTATTATTCGCCCTGAATAAGTAGGTAAAGGCCCCTCACACTAGTATCCAGATTAACTACGCCTTCTTGAGGCTCACGGTGGCGTTATGTTGCCAAGGTGATACTTTTGTACGGTGCAACAAACATCGCAAGTTCTGCCCCCGCTGGCGATGTCACAGGTTGTCCAGTGTTATGTCCTGACTTGGGCTGGAGAGAGTACGATTATAACTACACGTTCATCACATCTGGTCATCCGCTGCTTAGAGGTACAATCCATGTACTTAGTTCTTCTTTAATGCATCATGATATATTATGCTCCTTTCCCCTTTAAAACCCTTGCCGCTGTTAATGAAATAAGCTTCTTCAAGAAACAGCATTTTCATTCTCTGCGCTTTAAAACTGGTGTTCGATTTGATGCAAATAATGAAACAACAGCCTGCTTCTTAAATATATTGAGTACTGCTAAAAGTTAAAAAAAAACCACTAAAATGCTGAGACTTTTAGCAACTATATTACTATGATAATTATACGATGAATTAATTTATATGATAACAGGTATAAAGTATTCTCCCCTTCCTTTCTGCATGCCGTCGTGGTGTAACAGTAGCACACTCGACGTGTATTCGAGAGGTCCATGTTCGAGTTCCGGCGAGGGCATTGCTCATTTTTCACGTCTCTTGCTTCGAAACAACCTAATGTCTCTACCCAGTACTACTCGAAATGTTTCGTTTTTAAAGAAATTTCTTAAAGATTATTACTTCTTTCTCTCTCACAAAGACGGCGAAGAAATTAAGTACATTGAATAAAATCACTTTAATTATTATCGTCATACCGCATGTTTTTAAGTACTTCCAGTAAAGCATAGAATACTTCCTGTCTGTAGCTTGTATATTCATTAATTTTTGTTACTGAACGGAAAGCAGGGGGATTATAGATGGTCACAAATTAGTTTATATCCCTCCTATTACATTTATAATGATTCTTTTCCTCCACGTAGGACAGCCAATCTGACTTCGTAAGTCTTCACACAGCAGTAATATATCTTCATCAGTTAACTTGAACTATTAACTTGTCTCTTTACTTTGTTATTCCTCCTTCCAGTTGCATTCGAACAGGATTTTGCGCAAGTAGAATTCTTCAGTTGTTCTGTAACGTTCCTCCACTTCTGCTTCATTCCTTTTAGTGATCTCAAACCTTTGCAGCTTTAATCTCATTCGAAAAGCTGACTTAAAAGATTATGGCTCAGAATTATAATAAAAATACCGATATTTGTATTAATAATTATAAACATCTTTATTTCTTACTAAAGCTTGGCACTTGATGGTAATTCTAATCTGATAAAGTTTGTACCCTTGCAAAGAAATTATTAGAAATTACACTTATCATGGATTGCTGATGCTTATCGGTCAATGATTTTTTCTTATTAATTTCTAACTGTGAGAAAAACCTGTTCGCGTATAATATTCCCAAACAAAGCGATTATTCTTAGCGCAAAAATTCGTAACTGATTAATCTTTTGACAAATAAGAATAAAGATTAATAAATTTTGCATCTTCAAACCTTTGAATAAGATTCATATTTACATTGTAAACTAATTCGCTCCATTTATATATTTTCTGATGTTCATGTTCGTTTTTAATGGAAGTGAAAATATTATAAACTCGGACTTCAAATAACTAAAATCTTGAAATCTTTGCAATATTTGTGGATACTGCTCTCAAACCTATTACAGATATTCTCAATAAATTACTACGAGGGCAATCCCAAAAAAAAGGTCTCCTATATTTTTAGATATACAAAGAACCGTTTATTTTCTATAATTGCTACATCACTTTAAAGATTGAAGAATGCTTTATTTTTCAACATAATCGCCATTTCGGTCGATGCATTTTTGTAGACGCTGTGGCAGTTTTACAATGCCCATGTCATACCAGCTTGCCGCCATGCCCTTCAGGAAGTGTTGAGGAGCTTCAGGAGCATCCAGATGATCCTCCGATCTTTACGCATTTTACGAACTCAACAATCGCGAAACTCAAAGAATACGAACTCGTCGGCAATTGACGACCTCCCGCTCCTTTCTTCGTCATGAATTTCAGTACGACCGGCTGTAAACTCTCTACACCAGCGGTTCCCAACCGCTGTTCCGCGGCACACCAGTGTGCCGTCTGAAGCACCGTGGTGTGCCACCGGGTCTGGGTGTCACGGTGCTGTTCGCCCGCTATAACTCCTCCCGTCACTCCCCCCGCCAGTGTCATAGGTGGTCACGGCGCTGTGCAGTCCTATAACTCCTCCCCCTGCCAATCTTGACAAGTGTCCGCCGTGTCCCCGCCCCCATGAGACGCAGGCAGACGCCTCACACAGTGTCAGAGAGACAACGGCTGCTGTGAGGACAGAGACACTGATACTGCAGTGATGGACAAGTTTTTGAAAAGGAAAGAACTGGACTCTGAACAAAATCTGGAGCCAGATGAGAGCCCGAGTATGAGTGGGGGCCAAAAGAAAGCAAAGATGGTTAAATTCTCTGGCGCAAGGCAATATAGCGAAAGCTATATTTCAGTTGGATTTACTTTCACTGGAGATGAAACACAAACCAACTCCACTGTGGCGTGGTGTGTGGTGAAAAGCTAGCTAACAGTGCTATGGTCCCAAGCAAACTTAAACGCCATCTCCAAACGAAACACCCTTTGCTTCAAAACAAGAATGTGTGGACTATTTTTGTTCGCCTGCGTGACAACATGGAGAAACAGGCAACTTTTATGAGAAAAACAACAAAGGTAAATGAAAGAGCTCTTAAAGCTAGCTATCAAGTTGCTGAACTTATAGCCAAGACAAAAAAGTCGCACACTGTGGCAGAGACATTAATACTTTCTGCCTGCAAAGCTATTGTAGAGGAGATGCTCGGACCTGAAGCAGCAAAGGAAATAGCCAAAGTCCCTCTCTCAAACAACACAATTTCCAGACGTATTAATGACATGTCTGCAGACATCGAAAGTGTGGTTTTGGAAAAGATCCGTATCAATGAGAAATTCGCATTGCACCTTGACGAGTCTACTGATATCAGTGGACATGCTCAACTCTTAGCTAATGTGCGTTTTGTTGATGGTGATGCAATTAGAGAAAACTTCTTTTTTTGCAAGGTATTGCCAGAAAAAACAACAGGAGAAGAAATTTTTCGGGTCACATCAGAATACCTTGAACAAGGAGGACTTAAGTGGGAAAACTGCACAAGTGTCTGCACCGATGGAGCTGCAGCCATGGTCGGGCGCACCAAAGGCTTTGTAAGCAGAGTGAAGGAAAGAAATCCAGATGTGATTATTACGCATTGTTTTTTACACCGCGAGGCCCTCGTAGCCAAGACTTTACCATCAGCCTTAGTTCATGTGTTGGATGATGTTGTGCGCATGGTAAACATTGTAAAGTCACGACCCATGAAAAGTCGCATATTTGCAGCTTTGTGTGAGGAGATGGGAGCAAAGCATAAAACCTTGCTGTTTCATACGGAGGTCCGGTGGTTGTCGCGTGGCAAGGTCTTGGTTCGTGTGTATGAGCTGCGGGAGGAACTTAAAGTGTTTCTGACAAATGAGGGGTCAGATTACGCAAAGCAGCTTGCAAGTGATGAGTGGTGTGCAAGGCTGGCATACCTGGCAGATATATTTCATCATCTGAATGAATTGAACACCCGAATGCAAGGCCGAAATGAAAACCTGCTTACAAGTACAGATAAAATAAATGGATTCCGTTCAAAGGTGCAACTCTGGCATCAACACGAGGAAAGTGGCAATCTTGAAATGTTCACACTCACCATGCAATAGCAAGGTGTTCACACTCACCATGCAATGGCAAGGTGTTCACACTGCTGCACTGTGTGAGATAATAATAGTTAAGCATTTAAAAACTCTTGAGGAGAAGTTGTCATTTTATTTCTCTTCAGTCTCCACTGAATGCCTTGACTGGGTTAGGGACCCTTATAGCTCAGCATCAGTTGTTGGAAAGGAAATGACTTTACAGAAGCAGGAGGAACTAATTGAACTGAGACAAAATCGTGGTTGCAAGCTAAGATTTGCTGATCTACCTTTGGACAGTTTTTGGTTGGATAAAGCCAAGGAGTTCCCCCTTCTGGCAAACAAACCTATTTTGACATTTCTCCCTTTTTCCACTACATATCTGTGTGAGATTAGCTTTTTCAAGCATGATTGCTATGAAAAAACCAAATACAGAGTGAGACTGAGAACTGTTGACGAAGAGCTACGTGTGTGTCTTTCTTCTTATTCGATTCCAGCCAGAATATCAGCTTTGTGTTCAGCCAAACAGGCCCAGGTTTCGCACTGAAAGTATTTTATAATTTTTCACTATCTGTTACTTAATATTTTCATAATAAAGTAATTATAAAATACTTTCTTTGTGCTTATTTGATTCCTATTCAAGAGAATTACTTTATTATAGTCAATATAGGCACAGAGTTAATTTTTTAACATTTTCTAATGGTGGTGTGCCTCGTGATTTTTTTCCCCGCGACAAGTGTGCCTTGGCCAAAAAAGGTTGGGAAACGCTGCTCTACACCACTTGCGAACGCTTTTGACATCCATGCACGACTGTCCATACACTTCCGTCAATAGATGGTGAATTTCAACTGGTTTAACGCCTTTTGCGTTCAAAATCGAATAACTGCGAGCACTTTGCACATGGCGGTAACGTTTATCGGGAGCTCCATTTCGAATGGCTGCCAAGCCAAGACTGAGCATCTGAGCGAAGCGCCTGCGTGTTTATGTGGTACAAGGAGGTTAGAATAGAAGGAGGGAAGGTTCAACTCAAACGGTGAAGCTTGGCGGCCATCTTCCTGTTATCACCGTGACTTGTGCAAGGAAGTCTGTCATTGCAACATTTTTTTCTTTTCTTTTTGAAGCATGTCAGCTTGTATTGCATATGGATGCACAAATAGATTCTGGAAAAAAATTCCGGGCATTATTTTTCACATGTAAGTATCAATTTTCTTTTTTTATGTAATATGACAACTATGTCAAAAAATATCACAATGTCATGTGGTTTTCTTTCCAGATGTGAAAAAAAAGGACTTAAAATAGGTTATTTAATATAACTATAATCAAAATATATTAAATACATTTTAATGTTTCTGTTTATAGCTGGTATCTTCGTTCCTTAAGATACAACGCTATATGGTAGGATTTAAATTGTATAATTTGAACGTTTTAGTTAATTCGTTTTTATAACTTTCATGAAAAGTAGAAATCAATTGTTACTTATTTTATTAATTGTAAAGGTGTTTAAAATAAAGCAATGCTTTTCTTTATATATTAATTATTATTCATTTTTTTTAAGATAAACTGTTCTGTTGTTAAAAATTTTTGCATAAACTTACAAATTTCTGGGCAGTATAGTGATGAAATTAAGTAAAATATTTACACAATTGAACATGTGGAAAGATTTATCCAAAAACTTATATAGGTGTATTTCTGTAATTCAACTTAATTAAAGGCAGTTTCTTTGAGATTAATAAATATGAAATGCGCATAAACTGAAATCAATGAATTCACATAAATCTGTTTTATTTTATTAAGATTTATTTTCTAACCTAAGCAAGTTCGTGAAATATGCAGAAACATCATTTTTTAAAGGCTTTAATGTATGCGCATGCATTTAGATTTCGAACTATTTCTTAATAATTTGCTGTACATAGTAAATTTTGGATATCATCTTTATTACTTTAAAACAAAAATTCAACAATAGCGAGGGATTTCATTATAAATTTAACGTATTTTTACTGGAAAATAAATGCACGGAACAGGTTAGAAACACGTACATGTCACTGCCGTAATGCAATGTTTTGAAGTCACAAACATGGACGCCGCTTCTTCGGCGAAGTTTCATTCCCCGATAGTGGAGGAAACCGCGAACCCTCCCTCCTTCTATTCTAACCTCCTTGATGTGGTAGCGGAGAAGGCACCGCTCACAACAGTGTTGCCAACAACCGTATTAAAACTTTCTCTACGTCCCCAAAAAATAGGAGACCTTTTTAATAGGAGACCTTTTTTTTTTGGGATTACCCTCTTATCATTATGTGATATTGAGGTTTCAAATGTTGTAACTAATAAGAATATTCTAGTGCGTGTTTCTAGTAAACAGTCAGCATAACATTTTCTAGCTTTCAACATAATAATAGAGAATGGCAATACTCAATTTGGGTTTTGAGTTCCCCCCATTTAAAGTGAATTACATATAAAAGCTCAGTAACTTTCTAGAAGAGAACGCTCTGTATGTTATCACAATTAGGAACGCAAATGAAAAAAAAAATTATATTCCATAGAACAGAAAATAAAATTTTTCCCGTTTTAGATGAATCTAAAAGAAATGAAAGCAGTAATGGCTCCCTCTTCGCGGGATCACTGTTTTCATTTTGCTGCAGATCTGAAAGAATAAAATTTTAACAACTATAAAAAATAAAATATATATAAAATTCCTATAATTATATTAATTTTCATATGAATTGCACTTAACATTAAGCGAAACGCGTTATGTATTCATATTTCCTCACAAGAATTTACCAACAAATTAATTCTTAAACTCTTACCTAACTCTTTAAACATGCTCTAACTTACCAATTATATCTTTACGACTGAAGCAAAAGATATACTGCAAAATAATCTTCCGGTACAATTCATTTTAAAAGAACAAGACCTTCTCTGCCGACCGAGAAAAACAAGATATTCCAGAACGCTATTTTTCAGTGAGTAACGGTAAATACACCTGCCAAGATGAGTATCTTCGGAAATATTTGCCAGTTTTTGGAAGCATCGTATGCTTCGTAATCCACTGTTTGAGAAAAACATGTTCAGAAGCAAACTTTTTTTTTAAGTTTTATTTTTATTTTAAAAGAATTATGTTTACGTTCAAACAAGTCTGCTTTTTGTAAAATATATACCGTGGAATATTCTCATTCCTCTATTGCAAGATTTGAAACAAAAGTTCGTAATAACCAAAATTGGCAAACCAATAATAATTTTAGCATAATATGAAAATTGTTTTACGTCTCATTAATTAATACTGAACTGAATAATGCCATTACTTACAAAACTCACCAATATACAAGAAAATGTTATTGCAAAAAAGCTAAAAGCATTTCATAAGAAACTGCAAATTTCACAACCATCTAACTACAATAGATTAGCAAATCTATATGCTCTCCCAAAATTTCATAAATCACCACGCAAATTTAGATTTATTGCTAATGGTACAAATAATTATAAAAAGAATATAGATTACATATTTGCAATTAAACTTAAAAAAATCTGTAATTTAATCCAACAACTCGTTAACAAACAACACAACTATAGTTGGATTATTTATAATAATGCTCCAGTTCTCAGCAGATTTAAAAGTTTAGAAATCAAGAACATTAACTGCTATGACTTTGAAAACCTTTATACTTCTCTACCATTAGAAGAAATTTTTACTAGTTTAATGCAACTCCCACAACTTTTTCCTGACATACTTGACATCCTTTGTATTGAAAGATGGAACACTTATCTGAATTGTGCATTATTTAATAACTACATTAAATTCAATAATAAAATCTTTCAGCAAGTGAGAGGAATTCCTATGGGAGCAAACAGTTCTACACAAATATGTAACCTATTTCTTTTTACTTATGAATATAAATTCCAACTAAGTTTAAATAAGAATGAATTAAAGCTATTTGCACATACATTTAGATACATAAATGATATTATAACTTTCAATAATAATTCTGCTTTTGAGCAATTCAAAATTTACCCAAATAGTTTAACACTTAATAAAACGAATACGAATCAAGATACTATTGAATACCTAGACCTGCTAATTATTAAACACAGCAAAATTAAATTATATGATAAAAGAAGGAATTTCCATTTTCATGCTATTAAGCTAATTAATTGGAACTCTAATATCTCTAGAAAAGTAATAGAAAACACGTTTCATAACCAAATAATCAGAATAAAAAATATATGTACTGAAATAGAAGATTTAAAGGAAGAAATAATAAAGCTAATTAATGTTCGAGTTGATAACCAAGTACCACCAAAATTTATTAATTTATATATTAAAAAGGCAGGCATTAACTTTATAATTTTTTGGCTCTTTATGGTATGATAACATTACCTTAAATCTTAGCTGGAGGGTAATGGAGGATATAGAAGAGTAAAGGAATTACCTTGTAAATTTTTATTGTAAATAAATTTGTAAATATGTATATTTAATCAATACTGGATTCTTTCCTTTTACTAATAAAGGGCAAACTCTTTTCAAAAGTCTCAATTATAGCCCGAATTGAGTGAAGATTTTAATCTTCTTCTAATTTTCCATACTTTAGCCAGTGTTTAGTAAAGTTTTAATATACCAGTTGGAATCAAGTTTATTAAAACTTTCAATATTTTCTTTCTTTAAATTTAGCTTTTTAATAAACATTTTTTAAGAAATTAAATTTAATAAATAAAATTTTTTTAGGAATTCATTTCAAAATTTAAATTTTTACTTAAAAAAATTGAGGAATTTTTAAGACATTTTAAGATTTTTAAAAAAATATATTTTTTAATTTAAATTTTACATAAAAACATTTTTTAAATTTTAAACATTTCAGTTTTGCTAAATTACTTTTTAATTATTACTTTTTAATTTGCAATTTTCTGTAAAAAATAATTTTTCCTTAACGTTTTTATTTGTATTATTTACACAATTTTGCAACACACATTTAACATTACAAGCAGTTTACATTCATTAATTCACAATAACCACTTAACTCTACTTTACTTCAATTAGA